AATCTGCACCAAAAATTAGATAGAATAGACATATTTATAAATGTTCCAAATTTCAACCATGAGGCATGTAGCTATGTTATGAAATCTTAGTTGACCCGAGACAGGTTTTCTGTAAAAGCCACAAAAAACAGAAAAGTGATCCCAAATCATTAACAATATTTAAACATTAATATTTTTATTCCGTTTAATGTAAATATTTATTTTTAAAAAAAAGGTTTTTTATATATTTTTTTATTTGAAGATGAAAGCGCTTATAGGAAAAAAACTATTATTTTAAATTTAGTGCATTTTTAAATTTTTTTTGCGGAAATACTTTTTTTTTTGATAAACACAAAAATAATTGTGACATCAAGCTCGCTTTTATATTAAGTGAAACAGCCGTGCGAGTTAAATAAATGTTTAATAAATGTAAAAAATGCTATTATAAAATGTTTATTTTCTTTCATTTTTTTTGTTTTTGTTTAATTTTAAATAAAGTATTGCATTTTTAAAAATGTTTGATGTAAACAAATTTCTTTCTTTTCTCAGCATTTGTATAAATTAATTAAAATATGTGAAATTTCTTTAATTTCTAATTGTGGCTTTGCACTAAATGATTTTTTAATTAAAAAAAATTAGCGAGTAACAAATAAAAAAAGTACATTAATTAATTTAATAAAAGTTTTATCTTTTTTTTAAAAAGCAAAGATTATTTTTACAAACACCATTTATTAAATTGCTGTACCATTTATAAAACAATAATCCCTGTGCTTTAACTTGCGTTAAAAAAAAAATTTTGTTCCATGCTAATTTTTGATACAGCTTCGGAACAAAAATCTTTTGGAAAGAAAAACAAAAAAATAATTGCGATAAAAATGAGCTAATTTTTTTTTAACAATAAATAAAATTTATATATTGAACAATATTTAAATATTTTTAAATAAATTTGACAGTTAAATTAAACTCAAACATTAATTTTAATTTTATATAAATAATATTAATTTCATATGATCCACTTAAATATATTTTTTTAATCAAAATTAAATTATATATTTTTTAAATCAAATTTAAATTATTTTTTTTTATCAGAATAAAATTATATATTTTTGTTAAATTAGTTTTAAATTAAGTCACATATTTTTTATCAGAGTTAAATAATATATTTATTATGATCTTTGCTTTTAGCTTGAAATATTAGCCTTTTTCAAGCGAAAAAATTGTCATGTTTTTTTTTTTTTGTTTGTTTAAAACACCGATTGTTATTTTTTACATACAATTTCCAAATCATATTCATTTTTATTATATTTTAAAGTTCTAAAATGTGTTTGTAAAACAAAATTAAAAACAAAATAAAATTAAAAACAAAAATAAAATAAAAATACCTTTAAACTATCGTGGTCTAGACCACGTGTATTTTGATTTCTTTTGTTATAAGTTTTTCTTTCAAAATATTAGATAAAATAATTTTTAACCTAAATAATAATGCACTTTTATTAATTTACTTTGTAAATATTAAAAAAAAAATTAACGCCTTTTTTCTCTGATTTTCAAAAATGTGTTTTTTGGTATTGAGGTGATCTTATTTCATTATTTATATTTCCATTATTATAACATCCAATATATATTATGGCTGGGGCTTAAATATTAAAAAAATAATATATGTTAATTTTTATTTTACAGACATACATGGAAACATAATTAACTTGAATGTTCTTAAAAACATCTTGCGGAAGAATAAAAAGAATATTCGCAAACACTAAAAACCCGCCAAATTTGCGAACAAACTAATTCTATTGGTTCAAAAAACACGCTAACTAAGCGAAATAAAGTTCTAGATTATTCTGTTGAAATGTTTTAGCAATTGTATTATTAATGATTTCGTTGCGTTTTGAGATGTCTAGCATAAATTGTTTTAAGAATATATTATCAAATGAATTATTACTTTAATATTAATGATTTACGGCTTTGCAGATGTGGCTCATTCTCAGAGCCACATCTGCAAAGCCGTAAATCTTTTAAACTATTATCATTTGTTTACAAAAATAAATTTTTTATAATATATATTTTTTAAATTGTCAAAATTTTGAAAGTTAATTACAAATTATATATTTTAATAGTATATTCTTAATTTTTATATCTTTTCTTAGTGCTTGGTTTAATTAATTGTTCGTTAGATTTGTAAGAAACTAACGAACAATTAATAAAATAAATTTTTAATAAAATAAGTAATTATAGTTAGCTATTTTAGTAAAATTTAATTGTAAAATTTTTAAAGAATTTCTAGAATGTTTCCAATGACGTCATGCTCTAAAACTCCTATGAATTAAACGCGCTTGAATAAATTATCAAGTCTGTATAATGCGCCTGGAAAATCTTTGAAATACTCAAAATACCGCAGAAAATGGAGAAGACAAGCTTCGACTAAAACAACAAGATTTGTTTTTCTTGGTACACATTTATTAATTAGTTTTAATCAAAAAAAAATTTGCTCAGACGTTTTTTTTTAACATTCTCTTCAATATGAACACAACATGTCTCGGGACTTGGTAGTCCCTTTAACAAAAAACTGAAGACGAATGTTTTGGCAAAAATAAAGGCAAATCCTAACATAATTGAGCGAGATTTGGCACTAAAATACAAAACTAGCAGATAAATGGTTTGATCTATCAAGAAAAAGCATAAAATCAAGTCCTTCAAAATGTAGAGCCCCAGATTGCAATGCTGAAAAATATTTAGTGGCAAAAAAGTCATGCAGGAAAATTATACAAATTGTGTAGAAAAAAAAAAAAAGTTTTTACAATAAAACTAAAAAAATTTCCCCAAAAAATTTTGGTTTGGCAAGCCATATGTCAATGTGGATTAAAAACACAAAGTTTCGCCACTAATTCCAAAATAAATCCGAAATCTATCTAAAAGAGTGCCTTAAAAAGCGCTAATTGCCACTGTGGAACGCCCACGATGGTAATGCAATCTTTTGGCCTGACCTAGCTTCTTTTCGTTACTCCAAACCCACGTTAAACTTCTACAATGCCAATAGTATCGATTTCATACCTAGAACATACAATCCTGAATTGTCCTCAATGTCGTCCAATTGAGCAATATTGGGCGATTATTAAAGCCAAATTATATAAGAAATTTAGACAAGCAAAATCGAGTACTGACTTTAAGAAGAAGTAGGATAAAACCACCACAGAATATGGATCTCACCTAGTGGAAAATCTTATATTGAAGAAATTTAATTATTTTTGTTCTAGACTTAATAAGCGTTTAATAAAAAAAAATCAACTTCAAGCCTTCCCAGGAAAGGCTTGATATTATGTGTTTTATTTACGTGTTTTTTCTCTTAAAGATGAAAGAGAAAAAATGTATTGTCATCAGTTTGTAAAATATATTTGTATAATTATAATGTAACAAGTTTATATCAAGAGTTAAATTATACGATCGCGATTAACAAACTCTGGTAAAATATTAGGTCTTTAAAATTTTAGTTCATGCAAAGCTGTGTACTTTGTTTATAAGGAGCAAATTATTAAAAGTTTGCTAGCGAGAAAGTTACAAAAAACAAAACAAAAACAGTAAACTTACGACTACAAAAGTAATAACACTTTAGTCACTAACTGCATTATAAAAGTAATTAAACTATAATAGTGTTATTACATTTATAAAGCACTTATTACTTTTAAAGTTCATTCTTTGTTCAAACAGCATTATTAATTCCAAATATTTATTAAAAGCATCTAGAAAAAATGAAATGGATATTAAAATATCAATAAAAATTTCAGGAACTTTTACAGATCACTTAAACAATGTTATAAAAAATTAATTTTAAAATCAACCAATAAAAAATTTTTATTGGTTAATTTTAAAATTAACTCGCTTTTTTATGGTCCATTAGTAACGTTTTTCATAATGCTAAACTTTTAATACGATACGTTTTCATAAAGTTGTTTTCACGTCTTTATAAGTTACTTTTAATATTATTTGAACATCCACTTTATTCTTCTAGATATTTTTCTACTTCAATTAAAATTTGGGAATACTAATGTTGCTTGAACAAAGAATGAATTTTAAAAGTTATAACTGCGTAATAAAAGTAATAACACTATTATAGTGTTATTACTTTTGTAATGCAGTTAGTGACTTGAGTGTTATTACTTTTGTAATTGTAAGTTTAATGTTTTATTTTTTTACAAAATTCAAGTTGATTCTCCCCTTAAAAACAAGGAACACGGTTTTGTATAAACTAAAATTATGAATACTAGATATTTTTCCAGATTTTTGCATTTTGCATGGGTTTCGCATTCGTTTAATTCAACTCTTGTTGTTACATTAAAATTACACAAATAAATTTTACAAACACATTACAAATTTGTATTTTTGCTATCCTCTTAAAAAAAAATTAAGAATAGGAAAATCATTCTTTTTATTGTAGATTTCAAACTGTTTTTTTTTTTTTTCCTTATATAATTTTGTTGCTGAATATATCTCTAAAGAAACAAAAATAAAAACAGTACACAAATTATTTAAATTATTAATTTGTTTTTATTTTTTTCTATTTCAATCTCTTTTTATTTTGTTAGTTTTGTTTTTTTGTTTTTGAAACTTTTTCAGCATTATTATAAAACTTGCAAACGGCCGTGTTTACGTTTTCTAAAATAATATAATCGCGTGTGGTCATACAAGACGAAAAACCGCACGCCTTTCCTGGAAAGGCTTGAACTTTGTAGCTCATTCCAATCTTTTTAAATTCAAGATATAAAAAGTGTCAGTTTTACTTAACCCAACCTTTAATATAAATATATTTTAATTTATAATATTGTATTGTATCAATATAAGATGCTGTTATTGCAATAATTTGTTACTTCTGGTTTTAGTTTTATTTTCTTGACCTCTGATTCTGGTTCTTTTTCATTTCTTAGAAGTACTGAAATAGATAAAATTATGAATGCAAATGTGATAAATTTCTAAGATTTTTGGTAAAAGAGTTTTTATTAAAAACCATTTAATATTTTTTTTTTTAGGGGAACAAATGGTTCCAGGATATGTTGTATCAGAAGTTGTGCAAAAATTCATTATTTATTTTTACAAACAAATTTGTGATAGGGTATGTAGTTATTTTAAAATCTAGCAAAATTTATTAAATATTTATATATTAAAAATCTTATTAACTTTTTTTATTTTAGAATGTCTATGAAATACAACAGATTTATGATGAAGGGTATGAAGTTTAATATCATTTTATATTTCTCATTTGATTTTTTATTGTAATTTGATTCATTATGATCTCATTTTGTATTTTATCTTATTTATGATATATATTTCATATATCTCATTTATATCATTTATTTTGAATTATTTATCATTTATATTTTTGGGTTATATTTCATAGCCAAATATTTTCAAGCTTTTTATGACTAGCTTTTTATGACAAGTTTTTTATGACAAATTTTTTATGACCAACTTTTTATGAAAAACTTTTTATGACAAACTTTATATGACAAACTTTTTATAACAAGCTTTTTATGACAAGTTTTTTATGACATGTATTTTTTGACAAACTTTCTATCAAAAGCTTTGACGACTTTTTCTTGTTTTAGTACAGTAGTTATAAAAGTAAAAAAGTTCAGTTTTAGATTTTTTTTTAATAACCTCAAGTTTTCAAAATGTCAATTTAAAATCAACTGCATTTACAATGCATTTTTGGATAAGAGAGAGTAGAAACAAATATTACAACACTAACAAGTAACCTCATACTAGGTGAACTATAAAGGTTGAGGGTAATATTTTATAATATTTATAAAATTTGGAATTATCGAATCTGGAGAAAGAAAATAGTACAATAAAGAGACAACCTAAACAAATCTAATTTTGTAATGGGTTGTATACATGCTTCCATGAGAGATCAGTAGTGAAAGATAATCTTAGAAGATGTAAAGCAAAAGACTCAATAAGAGTATCACATTTATTAATATAGTGTTCCAATTATATTAACAGAAATATCACAGGTGGCTGAATAAGTGCAAAGCAGTTACAAAAACTGGCATAAGTGCAAACTGACAAGTGTACTGAATAAAATTACAAATATTAACATAAGTGTGAATTGGCATAGTTGTTTCATCAAACAGAGCTACTTCAGAGATAATCAGGAAAATTATTAATTTAGATAAGAAACCGGACTAAGGATGAAACCTTAAAATACCCCAGAAATAACTAGAAATTAAAGTGATTGTTGTTCATCAAGAATGACTTAAATACTGCAGCTAGATAGAATTAAATCAACACTTTTAAAAACATTTCCATATACACAATATAAAGAGAGATTATGGATCAGAACATTTACGGCTAGTATGCCAGCCTTTGTTGAAAGCTTTTGAAATGTTAAAAGCAATAGCCTATATTCTGTATTAATTATCAGAGAGTAAGTTATTAGATTAATATAAAATATTAAAAGTTTGTAAATTAAAGACTCAAACACCTTGCTAATTACAGTAAAAAAACTCACAGTTCTTAAAAATTGGAACCAAAGATGTCAATTTCCAGCAGATAAAAAAACAAGATTCATTTATACCCCATTTATATTTTATTTATACCCTATTTAATAGTTTAGATTGTATTAAAGAGAATTCTGAAAAACACATGTAATACTGTGATTGTACCAGGACCACAACCTGTAGAAGAGTTTAAGTGAGAAATAACCTTGGAAATGAAAGCCAAATTTATTTGGATATATAACTAAGGATTAACCTGTTTTTTCTAAAACAACAAGCTAATCCTTAATTATTAGTTAATCTGTTTTTTTTCTCCATAGACTTGTTCTTGTGATGAAAATAAAAATGATTTTGATTAGAAATAGCAGTTGCACAAAAGGAGAAAACCATTAGGTAGGGTGAGGTTTGACTTCAAACCAAAAAAAGGAATAAAAGCTTCTGCGTCTGCCTATATCCAGAATATTGTAAAGTAGGCACATTTTTAAGCATATGCATAAAAGACGTTAGCTTAAAGATCATCAGAAAATTGTAAATGAAATCCCAATCAGCCTTATTCTAGTAGTACATAAAAGTAATAAGAAGTGCAATGATCAGGCTTAGACAGGTGTGCGATCACACTTAGTATCTGACCACGCTAATATTTTTATTTCTTTACAACTTGACCACGGATATTTATATTTTTTACAATTTGAATGCAATAAAACAAAATTTTATTATAAATTTAAACGTTTGAAACTATGTTTCCATGTCTTCCTTAAACATTTTTAAACCATTATTTTTAGAAATAATTTTTTTAAGTTACTTTAATTTGTGAATAAGTTCAAAAGCTTTTGTGACTACTAGCTTTTACACATTTTATGTGAATTACACAAGAATATAAAATAACTTTTTTTACTTATATAAGCATGAAAAAGTTTTAAAGCATTATGTAATGTTCATATGATTAATTTTCATAACTAAACTTATGATTTTTTGAAACGTTTTAAGTAAACATTTTATTTTTTGTAAACAATTTTTTTTTTTCAATTTTGTTAGGAATAAGTGAATTATAAATCTTTTATGATAATTTTTAAATTCGTTAAGCACTTATTAATAAAGTTGTAATGCTCAAGTTAAAATTAAATTAAAATACTTGTTGGCAGTTTATTTTATTTAAATTGCAGGCGCATTTTATTTATTATTATTTTTTATTTTTACAAATAAAAAAGTTGAAAACCATTTTTTTAATTAGAGCATGAAATTAAGACTACATTATTTTTTAAACAATTTTTTTTTTTTTGCAACTTTGCTGAAAAAATAAATGTTTATACAATTTAAAAATATTATCTACAACACTTTTTAATAAATTTAATAAAATTTGTTCATTTATTAAACCAATCATTAGTAGTAATTTGTTACTTAATTTAAAAACGTTTTGCGTAAATTTTAATAACGTTTAAAAAGATAAGCTTTAATAACATTTATTTCATATGTAATTTCTTTTTCATTATGAATTTGTTTTTCATTTCTTTTTTCGTTAGTAATTTTTTTTCGTTGATTTTTTTTTTAACTTTTTTTCTAGTTTAAGTTTAGCTTAGCGTTTCTACATTTGGAGTATTTCTGAAATTTTTAAATCATCAAAACATATAAACAATCGTGGTCAAGCTGCCAAAAAATAAATTATTTGCATGGTCAGCAATAACGCTCGATCGCACGCCATTCCTGTCCAAGTCTGAATAATATGTTAATAATAATAATAGTATAAGTAAGAAGTGCAATGATGTTGAATCAAGCTAAGAATTGCGCAATGTTATATTGTCAACGATATGTTGAATTAAACTAAGAATTGCACAATAAAAGATATAGTCAGATCACAGCATGGTCTGAGCCATCTAAAGCAGAACATGGAGAAACTGTGCACAATGTTATGCTGTGCAATGTTATTCGGTATAAACTTAAAGAAACTTTGAAAAGTTATCTAGAAAATGAGTTGCAAAGTTAATTATCTGATTATGAGAATAAAAAGAACAGAAGTTTTGAGCTTTTTTGTCAGCAGTGTATGGTTGCTAGGGCCAAGCTGTTTAGTGTAATAAATATGGAATTTACCCATAACAATATTAGCTAATGGATAAAGTCAAAGGACTCGGCCATTGTGAAAAAATGACTTCATTAAGCACAAACTTTCCTAACACAACAGCAGCACAAAGAATTTTTTTTTTGGTAAAAATAGAACGATTTTTTTTCATTTTTGTCATTATGATGAAGTAAAAACAAAAATTGCACAAGGAAACATTTAGATTTTCCAGATTTCTGATTGTACTGTGAATCACTCTGATGAAGTAGTCTTAAATGTAGTCTCTCATCATGTTTTGGTTGTATTGTCCTCAGTAACTAGGTTCAAAGTCCAGTATATATTGATGATTGCGCTTGCCTCATTCCTTGGAGTAAGCACCCATGTTCTGCGAACAAGGATATGGACTTTCAGAGACATTCTGCATTCCATTTTGGTGTAATTCTTTATGAGAGTCTGCACCAACTCCACATAGTTTTCAACTTATTACCTAGAAAGCCTTGAACAACTGCAATGAAACTGCTCCAAGCTGCTCCCTTCGTCCTGTTCAACAGCTTTTTGAAATCCTCAGGTTCTATGATCTGTGGTCCGATGAATATACCAGTCCTGACCTTAGCCTTGAACAGCTTTGGAAAAAGAACTTGGAAATATTGAAATGCTGCTGACTCCTTGTCAAGAGCAGTGACAAATTGCTTAATGAGACCTAACTTGATGTGCAGCAGTGGCATAAACACTTTATGAGGTTCTATTAGTGGCTCCCATTTCACATTGCTCTTCTCAACAGAAAACTCAGGATATCAAAAGCTCAGCATTCGTAAGCCTGAGGTCCCTAATTAAATCTTTCATCTCTTTCTGGTTAGGGAAGTATGGTTTTCTATCCCCAATTTCATCTGTCTAATTTTAGTCCATATCTCCATTGTCTGCCTCGCTATCTGAAAATAAATTAAAAGACATCTTAGCAAGAAGCAACTGTTCAGTTTACCTTCAAGTGTTTTCTTGCAATATTTGCATGTGAAATGCGGTGCCCAAGATTTATCCTGGTCCCCGACTGGCATGTCAAAGTATGCCTTGTAGCATATTTTACGACTTGCTTCCATGGTGTACTTTTTCACTCATGTCTTTAATTGTCTGCACACTTAGCAGAATGAATCAGCTGGATGCAAACAAACTTTTTACGCCATATCAATTAAATAACTTCTCTTCAACTACGAATCGTTATCCTTTCTGTCTGCAATAGCATAAATTGGAATCTTGGTTCGAAAAACCTGTGCTTGTACAACTACTTTTGGAATGTTAAAGAATGTTCTAGGAAGTTCTGAGAGTTTCTAGAAAGTTGTGGAGGTTTCTTGAATGTTCTAGAGTGTTTAGGAGAATTGTAGAAACATCTGGACAAATTTAGCAGTAAAGGAATATTTTAAGAAGAAGCTCGGCATTAAAAGCATATCGGGAATTTTCTCAAAAATATACGATTTTCCGAATTTCATTGTCCCGTTCATAGAAGCAAAGTTTCTCTGGAGTAACAGCGATTTCTTTTTTGTTCTAAGCCTAATGGGTTAGGAAAACACACTTTCAACCCAGGAATAGAACAAAAGTGAAAAATTGTTGCATAGTGTAATTCAACAGATGGCAAATATTTAAGATATTCGAGATCTTCAATTTCTGATCTTCCATAAATTTTTTTAAAGTTTATAAATTTTTCAAAGTTATTGATAAAATTTAAAATACTTTTTCAATGTTTTTGAATTAAAAATGAAAACAAGTCTAGTAAAAAAAAGACTGGCTTTACAACAAAAAATTAACATATCAATTTAATTTGATCACTTTGTATGTAAAAGTTTCAACAGAAGCTTTTTAAGTTGCTTGAATTTTTACTGGTAAGAAAAAGTTATTAAAGCATATTATATATATTTCTATAATAGAGTTGAAAATTATTTTTTCCTAGATTCAATAAGCTAACAGAGCAGTATTTTATGAAAAGTGCCTGGCCTGAAGCTGAAGATATCTCACCTCTTGTTGATGGAGGTAGTGGATTTTTAACAAATATAGTTTATTCTTTTCTTTTTTTTTTATCTTATTTTAAAAAAGTCATTCGAAATAATTATTTAATTTTAGATAAATTATTCTTGACTTTATACAAAGAGTTATACTACAGACATATTTACTCCAAGTTAAAGGTTATTTTAATTATTGTGTTTATTAAAATATTAGTGAGAGTTTGGTATAAGAATTATTATCTTCAAACTTTCAATTCAAACTTTTCAAAAATTTCTTTGTTAATCTTAATAATTTGACAATATTTACGAAAAGTTTGAAGAAAAAAAAAATTAATTTTCTGACTGCAATAATTTTTAGGAATATTTTAAGATGACAAATTTTTGAAAGTTGTTTATATATTATAAATTTTTGAAAGTTGTTTATATTATCTTATTATTTATAATTTGTGCTTTTTTGTCTAAATTCAGTTAAGTACAATATTTCTAAAGGTTCAATTTTTTATTATATGTATTGAATTTGTTTGTATAATACAAGGGATGAGATAACTCAAATTTATGAGATAGCAAAATTTTTTGCAGAAAAAACCGCAAATTGTTGATGACAAAAATAGCTAAGTTTTTTTTATAAGACTCTCATAACTGTTATGTTTTGAAAATTATTTTTATAATACAGATGTTTTATAAAAATCATAAAAATTATTAATCGCAATTGCTTTAAATAATATACTTTTAAAGAGTTTCCGCAGAGATGAGTTATGTTTACTTTGTAAATAAACAGAAAATAAGTTTTGAGTTTATTAAAATTATCAAAATAATTTTTGTTGAGATAATAACAAAAACATTTTTTGTTTTGCCATTATTCTTCCGATTGAGAGGTTAATATTAACTCCATGAATCTGCATAGGTTTTTCCATTGTAAAAGTATCTGGTTTAAATAATAAATGTAATTACCACAGTATTTTTTAAACAATTTACACAATAAGATTAGATTAACTTTTTCCCATTAGATTGGGTTTTCCTTTTAAGTAAAAAGGCATGCACATTAAACATTTTAGTTCAGCTGGAGACAACAAAATGAAAATTGTAAATAAATGAAATTTTCCGCTTTTCTACTTTGTTTTATTTTCATTTCCATTAAAATATTTCGTTTTCAATTACCGTGTAATCAAATGTATTTTCACTATTTCTCACTAATTTCTTTCTAACCCCTCCCCCCCCCCCCCCCAAAAAAAAAAAAAAAAAAAAAAGAATAAGTATTTTTGGTTCAAAGGTTTTTATTAGCAAAACTTATTTTTGGTTCAAAGGGTTTATTAGCAAAACTTATTTTTGGTTCAAAGGTTTTTATTAGCAAAAAAATTTTTATTCAAAATAAAAATTAATTGCTAAAGGGAAAACACAAACATAACATTTATAACTTGAGTTTAAGTTATTTGAAAAAACTTTTTTTTATTGATGTCATTTATTAACTACAAAAGCACATTAATCGAACCAGTATTTAAAAATAAGTAAATAAACAAGCTGGAACTTACCTTCAAGAAGAAAAAAAAGGAGTTAAAAATTATTTTGTTTTTTGCTAATATCTCGTTAATAAATTGTTCTGGAAATTTAATTAACATGAAACTTTTTTTTAAAGAATTGTTAATGATATGAACACAGCTTGTCTTAGGAATACTTTAAGATCGCTAAATGGCTTTGACCCATCGTAATTCAACTTTCTTATTTCGACTCTTGTAATAATTTAAACATATTTTTATTTAATGATAAATATAACCTATATTTTTAGCCTACAATGGAACATCGCTATGCATCATATTATAATTACTGTGAACTTTTTAATTACATACTTGGTGAGTAAATTTATATATATATATTTTTTTATAGGATTCTTTAAATTGTAAATGAGTTATATTAATATAGTTATATTAATATTAATATATTGAGGTATTGAATTTTACATTTGTCATACTTTAACATATTGGATATAAAATTTTGTTTAAAAAAAGACTATTGGTTTAGTATTAATCATTAAAGATTATTTTTAAATAAAATCAATGTAATATTCATTCAAACTCTTTGAGCTTTTGAATAGAACTGATTTTGAACTTTTTTTTATCCAGTCTAAACCAGAGATGCAAAGTCCCTAAAAGTCTCTGAAAGACTCTGGCTTTATATCTCTATTTTTCCTGGTATCTGGTGTCAGGAAGCTCTAATGTTGGTTGACTTATGATCTGCTATAAGAAAAAATTTGATGAGATTTAATGACTTGGAACATAATGTTTTTTAAACTGGAGTCACTGAGTCACTGCCTCCATTATACCTAAAGGCTCTAAGTTCAAAATCCTCTAAACGTCTCTAAACCCTTAATTGTCCTAATTTTTTTCCCATTAGTTGTCCATAAGCTTTTTTATATTTTTAGAGCCCTTTGATGTAAAAAACTAGGAAGAAGTAATCTTTTTGTGACTTTCAAATCCGGATTAGTTTTTGGGAGTTGGCATCCCTGGTCTAAAGATTTTTGTTAATCTTATATTGTTATCATTGCTAATGTAAGAAAATATATTTATTATAGCAGTCCTCCTAAATCATGTTTATCATGTATTGTTAGATCAAATATTTTTTAGATAATCTTACTGAAAATCCATTAGCAATAATATTGACAGACAATCTTTCTAATAATCCCCATTGCAACCTAGTTTGGTGTTAAATTATTACATTTATTGCATAATTCAACAAAAATAAAAATAATGTTTATGTAGACTCAGCAAAATTATCTAATCTTTAATCAAATGAGTTGTATTAATGTATAGGATAAAAAAAAAAAAATTTAATAAATGAAAATTATATAAAAATGGAACATTAAAATCAAAATATAATTATTTAATTTAGATGAAACAGCACCTTCTACTCTTGTACTCCCTAATCAATGGATGTGGGACATCATTGATGAGTTTATTTATCAGTTTCAAGCTTTTTGTCAGTTCCGTGCTAAAATCATGAACAAGACCGAAGATGAAATGATATCATTAAAAGAAAATGTTTATAAAGTTTGGAATGTTCACAGTGTTCTGAATGTACTATATTGTCTAGTTGAAACATCACGAATTAATGAACAACTTGAGGTTTTTGGGAATGATGAAGACCCTGATACAGTTGCAGGGGAGTATGGGAAATTGCCACTATATAAAATGCTTGGTTATTTTAGTTTAATAGGCCTGTTACGATTGCACTCCTTACTTGGTGATTATTATCAAGCAATAAAAGTTTTAGGAAATGTTGACCTCAATAAAAAGGTTATTATTTATTTTATATTATTATAAAAAATATTAAAAGCATTTCAATTTTGTGCAGATATTACAAAGTTTTCAAAATACTTTAATATATAATATAAATTGTATTTTTCAACATTAGTTGGTAATTATAATTTATTTAACATAATATCTCTCATGTTTAAATATTATCTTTTGATTTTCTCGATTGGCGGAGTTTAAAATAGCGTAGTTTACTGTTATAATTTACAGCTTAAGTTTTAGTTTAGTGTAATGAGCAAGTTATGATGTAATAAACAAGTATTAAATGCTATTATTATATTACTTTTAGTACAGTATTACTTTTATTAATACGTTCACGCTGACGATAAAACAGGTTATTTTTAAAGAGTATTAAATTGTTAGTGTAAAAAACTGTAAAACAACAATAAACCAAACTGCAAAGTTTAAAGCTTGAGTTAATAAAAAACAACTTCAGGACGCTATTTGTGTCGCTGTTTTATAAAGTTTTTATAACATTAATATCATTAAAGGAGTTTAAAATAAAACAAATTAAATGAATAGAAATGTTTAATTAAAAAAAAAAATGTATAAGCATGCATATCTGTAGACCAAACGAGTAAGGTCAAAGCTAAAAAACATTAGGTACTACGTTTTTATAATTTATTGCTATTACTATTAAAAATCTTAAAATAAGAACGTACTATTGAAAATTTTTAGTATAGATAAAGTATAAATTTTTTCATTTAAATGGTTTTTAAGTTAATGTTTTCATTTAACTTTTTTGTTCAAATTGTTTTGTAACAAAAACTGAGAAAAAAAAATTGATTTAATAAATCGATTTATATTTTGTTAAAGGGACCACAAAGTCCCGAGACATGTTGTGTTTAATTAAAGAGAATGTTAAAAAGAAACGTCTGAGCAAATTTTTTTTGATTAAAACTAATTAATAAATGTATACCAAGAAAAACAAATCTTGTTGTTTTAGTCAAAGCTTGTCTTCTCCATTTTCTGCGGTATTTGGAGTCTTTAAAATAAACTTGATTTTCCAAGTACATTATACAGACTTAATAGTTTATTCAAGTGCGTTTAATTCATAGGAGTTTTAGTACATGATGTCATTGGAAACATTCTAGAAATTCTTTAAAAATTTAACTATTAAATTTTACTAAAATAGCTAACTATAGTTAGTTATTTTATTTTTTAAAATCTTCACATACTGTTTTAAATAATGCCGTTTTAAATAATGTTTTTTTGTAGCTATCAAAGTCATGGCTACATGGGCCACGGCAATGGTGGACTTAGTGACCCCTATGGCGCCAAATCAGGTTATATAATATCTCTGATGATTCACAAGTGCGTCCTTTACATTTTGATGCAAGTTGTTTTGACAAATCTAACGAACAATAATTAAATCAAGCACTAGGAAGAGATATAAAAAATAAGAATATACTAAAAAAATATGTAATATGTAATTAACTTTCAAAATTTTGACAATTTAAAAAATTTTTATTATAAAGCTTTTATTTTTGTAAACAAATGATAATAGTTTAAAAGATTTACGGCTTTGCAGATGTGGCTCTGAGAATTAGCCATAATATTAAAGTAATAGTTCATTTGATAATATGTTCTTAAAACAATTTATGCTAGACATCTCAAAACGCAACAAATCGTGAATAATACAATTGCTAAAACATTTCAACAGAATACTCTAGAACTTTATTTCGCTTAGTCAGCGTATTTTTTGAACCAATAGAATTAGTTTGTTCGTAAATTTTGCGGGTTTTTAGTGTTTGCGAATATTCTTTTTATTCTTCTGCAAGATGTTTTAAAAACATTCAAGTTAATTATGTTTCCATGTATGTCCGTAAAACAAAAATTAATATATATTAATTTTTTTAATTTTTAAGCCCCCACCTTAATATATATTAGATGTTATAATAATGGAAATATAAATAATGAAATAAGATCACCTCGATACCAAAAAATAATTTTTTGAAAATCAGAGAAAAATGCGTTAATAATTTTTTTTATAAAATATATATATATATATATATATATATATATATATATATATATATATATATATATATATATATATATATAGTTTTATATATATAGTTTTATATATATATATATATATATATATATATATATAGTTTTATATATATATATACATACATACATACATAAAGCAAATCTAACATCGTTGGATATGCTTTGTTTACCAAGCATCTCTCCCATCATTATCGCTGATGGAAAGGAGCTATCGTCTCTAGTTCCATCAGCTAAAACTCGCTATCGCTTGACTCTTTATTAAGCAAAGTCACAACCTTTTACTGTATCTGTCCCTAAAAACATGCTCTAAAAACTTTTATTTGTTTTTCCCCTGCATTTTAACCCTTTGAACTCTCATCTTCCATCTTCATGCAGGCTTGGTCGGGAAGCAGGAGCGATCGCTCTGGAGTACTGAACACGGAAATAATATTCAGATTTTTTAGTCGTTTTGATTATAAAAAAAAAAAAAAAACTTGTAAAAGAAAATAACTTTTAACACGATAAAAATTTAAAGCAAAATAACTGGGGGCTCCGAAATAGCCAAGAAGACCTTTTTTTTAGTCATTTTTACGCCGTGGTACATAAAAAAGGCCTTCAAAATTAAAATAGCTCCTTGCCCTGAAAAGTCCAACAAGATTCTAATAAAACTAACGCTAGTTATAGTTTTATTTAAGCTAAATTATTTTATAAATAAAAAAGTTAATTTTTTAAATAACTATTTTATGCTTTGCGTAGTTTGAAAAGTTTAACATATTTGAAACAATTCTTCTTAGTAAGATAAACAAATAAAGACTACAGGGGAAAAAAGGCACATGTCGCTATGATTGTTCTTACTGTATTTCTTGGGACACTAAGTGTAGCATTACATAAGCCTTTTTTGGGATAGATTTTACTATTTTGCTAACCTTCAGGCTTATGTTTATATAGTAGGGAACATAACTCAACTAATTGGAAAATGTGACGTGCCCTTTTTCCCCTGTGGTCTTCAAATGAAATAATTAAATCATTGAGTTACTGTAGAAATTAAATTAACTAGATAGAAATCAACTAAAAAGGTTATAAATACTTTATGAAGAGGAAGCAGAACTGCTTAACAATAATGATGATGATTGTTAGTGAGTGGTCTTTAATAATTTTAATTAGTATTTAAAACAGAAAAAACTTAAAGTATAATGAGTTTGTAAGAATTGCCACTGAAGCGAAAATAATTAGAGTTAATAAACCAATATCTATGAAATTTTTACTATTAATTTGTAAAAAACTCTTTTTCCATGTTTTTCTGAAAATCTTTTGAAAGATCATTTTCTAAGTTACTTTAAATTATGAATAAGTTAAATTAACTCTTCAGTTGCAATGGAATGATTTATTTGCTTAATTTTTTTTTATTTATTTTTACAAAGAATTGTTTAAAATTTTTTTGATTTAACTTGACTGACTAATCGGAGCATGAAATGATTAAAAATTACTATTTTAAATAGACTACTGTATTTTTTTTTTGTGCAACTTTCTGAAAAAAATGTTTATCCAATTTAAAAATAGTACAAAGTTTGCGAGCAGGCAAAAAAATATGGAATTTTACTAATATATCAGCACATACTTCACTAAAGCCAACATATTATAAACCAATTTAAAGGTTTTCAAGTTTACAATTATGTTTTGAAGAAATATTAACATTTTAAAATTGGGATACAAATCAACAATTTTTGATAAGTTCAAAAATTTGCAGACAAAGCGTTTTTTATTCAAAATAGTGCAAATATTTCAACATTATTTGATCACAAATTTATATAAAAGCAAAATCACTTTAATTTTACAATCAGGAATGGCTTGGCATCTATGAGGCATAGAGTCCACTAAATGAATGCAAATGTCAATGGGAATTGAGTCCCATGTTTCTTTGTTTTTATTAAATAAATTAGCATGATTTGTAGGCTTGATTCCTTTTATTTAACGGTCAACATGTTCCCCTAGATGTTCAATTGGATTTAAGTCACGTGATTGGGATGGCCACTTTGAAACATTCTTATTCTTTTTGAAAAACTCTAAAACCGATTTGGCTGCATGTTTGGGATCATTATCCTGTTCGTATATCTATCCTCCAGGCATTTTCTCCTTTGCATAAGGCAATATAATAGTCTTACATATATCTTTGTGCTTTTCTTGATTTATAGTCTCCGTAATTCTATGGATCGAACCAACTTCATCTCAGCTAAAACTTCCCCAAACCATTAAAATACCTCCTCCATGTTTTACGGTAGGCAGTTGATGTTTAGGATTGTATCTTATACCTATTGGATCGTATTTTGTACCTATTGGACGTCTTATACCTACTGGGCGTTGAACATACCTGATTCCATCTGATCCGAACAGTATAAACTTGCTTTCGTCACTAAAAAGAATTTTTGACCATTGTTGACTACTCTACTTTAGATTCTCTGAATTCTTTTTGAGAATTATTTAAAAACTTTGTCATATAAAATTCGCCGAATGGTCACATACGAGCAGTGAACGCCTGAGGGAAGAAATGAAGTACATTAGAATAAAGGAGAATTATTTATTAGACAAAGCATGTTTTGACAGTTGTCAAGACAAAAATAAAGATTAATAGAGGAATATTTAAAAATAAATAAGACAGGCTATACAATTAAAACAGTACTCAACCATAATAACAATAAAAAAAATTAAAAAAAATAAAAACAAATAATAATAAAAAATATATATATATAAAAATAAAAAATAAAAAATTGTTTTATAAATACCAATATGAACTAAAATATACAAGAAATGCATAACCAGTCAACAATTTGTAAAACAAAAAATCATTCAACAAATTAAAAATATGCTAACAACAATGAAAGGACTAATAATGGAAAAAAAACATTAATGCTAATGTGTAAACATAATTAGTGTAGTGATAAGTAATAAACATCTCCTCAGAGTCGCGTCTATTATTACTGGCGTTTCAA